TTGGGGATTTACTTTCACTCCAGTGCCTTTCACTTGAGCCTGTGGCTTTTCCTGTGCAGGCTGGGGCCTCAGTTTTTCTGCAACAGTAGCAACGGTAATGAGATACGTGCAATTGCTGCTGTTTCTTTGGTCAGGTGCTACCCCAAGGGACTGACATGGAGTGTATCTGTCCCTCTCCACTCTGTAGGCAAGCAGTTATTGCCTCCAACAGATTATTGTGACAAGAAGAGTTTAAGTGGCTCCAATTTATAGTCACACATTCAGCCTCTCATCTGCTGTCAACATCTGTTCGTTTGGTGCCTAAAGACTGAAATCACTGGGTGTAGGAGGCTCTCATGACTGGTGTCACAATGATTAACAGTCGCAGTGGAGGGGGTCCTATTGCAACTCTGTGACTTGTTTCTGATCTAAACTCATTAATATGCTGTAGTCAGAGATGCCCCAATCATGACTGAAAGTTAACTGCTGCTGCTTGCTGCTCAGCATCCCTCACTGGGGAGATGATGGGCTGGCTCTAAAATCTAGAGCATGCAGGGGTGGGATACCTTCCCTCAAGTTGTTGGTTAGGAAAGTCAGAGAGTCCCCCCATCCCCTGCCAAAGAAACTAAAGAATGACTGACCGTTATTGCTTTTGGTTGCCCACCAGAACTTTGATGGCAAGATCCTACCTAAGGTACCACACACTGGCCAAAGGACTTGGAGAAATGAAGCTGGTACTGACGTGGAAGGTGCTACGGAGAAAGTGATCAACAATCTTACCCAGTTGTGAACCCTGAAAGCTTCAATAACTGGACTGACAAGATGCCCATGAGTACAAGAGCAGCATGATTGTTATGGGTTCAACTATTTGTTCAACTTAAGGCCCGCTTCACAGGAGGAAACTCATGCCTGGTACTATAAATCTGGCCAAGAACCTGTGGCTGGGGAGCTAATAGGCCCTGGGGTGAACCTACTTCTGCTAAATGGACTCAGTATCAAACTACCTTCTAAATATGTATTTCTAGGGGCTGGCAAGATGGCTCAGCAGAAAAAAGCACTGACTGCTCTTGCACAGGAACCAGGTTTGATTCCTAGCACCTACATGGCGGCTAACGACCATCTGTAACACTAGTTCCAGGGGATCCGATGGCCTCTTCTGAATTCCGCAGTTATTACATGACACGGGTGCACTTTATGCAAGCAATAAAAATATTTAAAGTACGTATTTCTGTAATCACTGATTAGTGAAGCTTTCAGTCCTCATCAAGAAAGTTTCTCTGTGCAGTTAATACAGAGACTGACAACTGGTCAAATAAATGTCTGTTGTGTTTAGGATATCTATATAACACCTCCTCCCACCGGAGGAGGGAGCAGAAAGATTTAAGAGCCAGAGGTTGGGAAGGTCTGGGTGAAACAATGTCTTCTGGACACAACAGGACTCACAGGATCAAGCCAGTCAGTATCCCATCATGGGTCAGGGAGAGGCACATGAGCTCCCACCCTTAGATGAGGAGATACTGACAGTTGATGGCTGCTAGGGGAGGGAGAATCAGTTTTCTTCAGGGATGTGGTCTCTGGTGTGTCAACCAACTCCTCCAGTGGATGGTTCATGCCCATGCACACATGGGGAGGCCAAACTGGACTCAGTGGGTTATTATAAAAAAAGAGCAGTGGGGCACGCCTTTAATCCAAGCACTCGGGAGGCAGAGGCAGGCAGATCTCTGTGAGTTCAGGGCCGTCCTGGTCTACATAGTGAGTTCCAGGTCAGCTGGGGCTACAGGGAGACCCTGTCTCAAAAAGGCCGGAAAAAAAAAAAAGACAAAGTTGGGAGGGGTCATGAAAGTGGGATTCTGGGAAGAACTGGGGGGGAAGTGTGGGTATGATCAAAGCACACTGCATTTATGTATGAAACTCTAAGAATAACAACATTAATATATATTTTAATATTTTATTTTTATTTTATGTGTATGAGTGTATTGCCTGCATGTATGTGAGCACACCCATGATGTGCAATGCGGCAAACGTCAGAAAAGGGCTTCAGATTCCCCTGGAACTGGAGTTAAGGATGGTTTGCAGCCACCATGTGGGTGCTGGGAATCAAACCCGGGTCCTCTGCAAGAGTAGTCAGTGCACTTAACCGCTGAGCCATCTCTCCAGTCCCTATATCAATATTTTTTTAAAAAGATCCAGAGCATGAAAGCTTCAGAAAAGGAAAGAAAACTGAAGGTTTTCTCCATGAGAAACTGCACATGTGAAAGGGCAGAATGATTAATACTAAAGATGGTGGTTTGGTTGGACGAGGGGATGAAAGTTCATCTATGGCTTTGTGCTGATCTATTTTCCAGTGTTCCTATAGTGTATCTGGTAGCTATAAGAGATATTTTAATATTAAAAAATACCACCCTTTGACTCAACAACTCTACTCAGAAACATCCTAAAAGAACAGTTAGAGACGTGTAGAGGCTTAGTCACAATTCTCATTCCAGAAATGTTTATATTAGCACTAAAGAAGAAAACTAAAATGTCCAGAAGAGCTCAAAGTCAGACCATGAGCACACTAAACATTAACCAAATGATGTACGTAACATTACTATAAGGAAAGCTGCAAAGTACTACATACAATGTAACCCTCTGGTGCTGGGGATGGACCCTGAGCCTAACACATACTAAACACATGCTCTACCAGCAAAACAGTCCCAGCCCCTTTTAGGGTTAAATAGAGATGGTAATGAGCCATAAGTCAAATACCATAAGACTGAGAACAGCTACAGAGCCAGGGAAAGAGGGTATGAGGCTAACGCTTTGCTCTGGATATGTAAGTTACACCCACATTTCTGGCCCCTAAGAGCCCTAGCACATCCATTTTCACTCCTAAGGTACAGGAAAGGGACTGGCAGGAAAAGACAAAGGAAGAGGCGATGACAGGTTGGTGCTTAGGCCAGACTCACTTATGGGCACGTGCTAAGCACAAGCAGGTCAATATGCTGGTTCTTAACAACCAATCTGGATACCGCTGTCAGGTCTCACAGTACTGGTTTCTACACACGACAGATGAACATTCCTGATGTTAAAAAGCATCTATGGCAGGATTTGTACAAAAGAGAAGAAAAACAAAGAAAAAGTTACTTATCTTTGGGAGCATTTTTTTGAATTTGTGTAATTTTCTAACAATAAATGTCTATTGCTCTTGTATTTTAAAAACACTGTATTTTTACATATTTTGTGTATGCGCACGCATGTGCACATGCATGCATGTACACATGGAGGTCAGAGGATGACCCATGGGTGTCAGTTCTCTCCTTCCACTATATGGATACTGGGGATTAAACTCGGGCTTAGTGGCAGGTGCCTTCACCCACTGAGCCATCTTACCAGCACAAAATACAGCATTTGGGGATGTACAGAAAATGTAATCAGTTAAAAAAAAAAAGTCATTTCCACCTCTAAGCTAATCTAGACAAAGCTGCTTTCCTGTATTCAAAGGAATCCTTAAGTCTGGCCTTGCTGTCTGCTAGCTGTCTACAGTAGATGACACTTTCCTTACAAATGTATTTCTATGTGTATTTGACTATGTCCTTGTAATTTCCTCTATTCTACTAGAGAAAGAAAAAAATACCACCATTACCATGAAGGACTGTCTTACCTTAGGCAAGTAGCTATCTTCTTTTCAACCTGGGAAGCAAAAAAAGCCCATCTAAGGGCTGGGGAGATGGCTCAGTGGTTAAGAGCACTGGCAGAGGACCAGGTTTGGTTCCCAGCACCCACATGGCAGTTAACAATCATCTGTAACTCCAGTTCCATAGGATCTGACACCCTCTTCTGGTCTCTGCAGGCTTGTACACATGTGGTGCACTTACAAACACGCAGGCAAAACATTAAAAAAAAAAAAGTCAATATAAACAGGTGTGTTCTTTCTATATATATGCTGGATGTGCAGCTTCCATCTTTAACATGGTAAGTATCAGATTTTTGTTTTTGATGCTGGAGATTGAGCTCTGGTCCTCTACCATGGAGCCAAACCACTAATTCTTCATGTATTAGTTTTTTTGTTGTTTTTTTTTTTGTCTTTTTGAGACAGGGTCTCCCTGTAGCCCAGCTGGCCTAGAACTCACTATGTAGAGCAGGCTGGCCTCGAACTCACAGAGATTCACCTGCCTCTACCTCCCAAGTGCTAGGATTTAAAGCATGCACCACCACGCCTGGCCTGATGTATTAAGTTTTTAAAAAATATTTATTATTGTATGTCTATGAGTGCATTGCTTGCATGTATGTAAGTGCACCTGTATTGTGCAGGGCCTGAAGGTCAGAAGAGGGTATTGGATCCCCTGGACCTGCAGATACAGACAGTTGTTAGCCACCATGTGGGTACTGGGAACTGAACCTGGGTCCTCTGTAAGAGCAGTTAGTGCTCTTATCTGCTGAGCCATTCTCCAGTCCCCAGAAGTATTAGCTTGAGCCTTAGAAATATTTAAAACGCCTGTCCTGTACTGAATTGTGGGAACTTAAGAAGAATCTTTTACTGTCAATATGAACTTGAAGCAATTAACAACTGTAGATGGCTGATTTCTCCAAGCATGTAAGTACTTGACACTCAACTGTAATTCACTCAGGCAGAGGTCTACCTGAGTAAAAGTAAACAGAAACAGGACAGTCCCTAGGGAGGGGCCTACTTTAAATGAAAAGACACTGCAATTAGTAGGTGCTAGCTTTCTTTCAACTTCCATTCTAGAACAAGAGTTTACATAACTTTTGTGTACATGTTATGCGTGATGCTTAAATGTTCATTCATAAAGACCTGACTGAGTCAATTGGCTGAGCTTGTGGAGTTCTAGCCCTGAGAGAGATCCACTATTTCCATTTACACATTTGTAAGTTGCCTAGATGTGACCAGAGTACGGCTCCCTATGGGTTGGGCTAAATATAAAGATCACTGGTGAATGAAGAAGGGATTCTTAAGCCTCTACTGGCTATCCCAGGGCTGTTTATTAAATATCATCACATTTTTAAAGGCCATCCAAATATACTTTACTTATGTTTCCAAAGAAACATTTACTTATGATCTTTATTGAACAATTTCAAACAAATCCAGAACAGGTTTTCACATTTTGAGTCTTCAGTGCAAAGACACTAGCTCATGCGGGAATTATGATATTTATCCAGTGAGGCCCCTGATGCATGGACTATGACGATGTTCAGGCAGAAGGTGACTTATGTGACAGAAATCTGCTCAGAAATTTGCTTGAAAATGATTTAAACCTCCTATTAAGGTTTTTCCACAACATAAATGTTCTTAAACAACTTATAATTTCAAAACAAAATATCCCAAGAATCAACTATCCCTTTAAATAAAAAAAAAATAATTTATACTCTTCTTAAAGGAATTCCAACAATTTAAAATAAGTTCCAATTCCATATATACACACATTTATTACTTAGGTACTCTTGCGCTATGTGCTTTTGTTCATGCAACAGTGACAGAGGACCAGACGAGAGGCTCTACAGTGGTCTTTCTGAGAAGGCAGTGTAACTCCTCACTCTGGAGAAGAACAAGGGGGTGTACATCTTGTCAATCTCGAAAGCACTGACTGCAGTCTCACCAGTTGATCTAGAAAGGAAGTACAAAATCACTAGCTCAAGAAATTTCAACTCTTTTACAACCCTTACATGCTTGTATGGGGAGCTTAAAATCCTCAATAATGGAGCAACATTATAAAACATTTAAAAACTTTCTTCAGAAACCATTTTTATTGGCTGCACAATATTATACTCCTGGCTTGTATCACAATCTAATATGTGCTACTTTTGATTGACTTCCAAGCATATTCCTAAAAGAATTTCTAAGACAAAGGTGATTGACAATTTGCAGCTCTTGTTAAACTGTTCTTCAAAATAAATCCAATTCCAGAATAAAACTAATGATTATTTGCTTGATCAAAGCGAAAATTTAAATGTGTATATGGGGAAGCCAGTGACTAATTATGCTACCATAGTCTTTTATTATAAACCCCCAAAGAGAAATAAACAAAAACAGAAAATTCAAGTGACTATAACTATTACAACACAGTAATTGGCTGGAGAGATGGCTCAGCAGTTAAAGAACATTAGTTGTTCTTGCAGAAGACCCGGGTTCGAATCCCAGCACCCACATTTCAGCTAACAACCGTCCCTAACTTCAGTTTCAGGGGCTCTGAGGACTTCTTCTGCAGAAACTGCATGACACGGGCACACTTACACACAGGCAGTCATAACACACATACACATAAAATAAAAATAAATAAAAGTGTCATCAACTAAGCAGTTATAAACAGCACCTACTATAATGCACTTCTTCTGAAAAGTGATCTTCATTTTCTAGTGGGGCAGGCATAAAGTACAGCAACCATTCATTTGTGTGGCTCTATTTATGGGTTTTACTTTCAGAAGAAATCTGCAGTAGATTATAGATTGTGAAGGTTTTTGTCAACTTGGTTACACACTAGAGACTCCTAAGACGAGGGAGCCTCAATTGAGGAATTCTTCCATCAGTCTGGCCTGTGAGCGTGTCTGTGGGGTGTTTTTCCTTGATTATTAAGGAGGACCCAGTCACTGTGAGCAGTGCCATCCCTAAGCAGGCAGGCGAAGGCTGTGTAAGAAAGGTAGGTAAGCAGCCTTCCTCTGTCATCTCTGCTTCAGTTCCTGCCTCCAAACTCCTGTCCTTGATGATGAACTGTAACCTGTAAGCCAAATAAACACTTTTCTCCTGAAGTTGGTTTTGTTCAGTGTTTTACCATACCAGTAGAAAGCAAAGTAGAACACAGCTTAAAGCAAAAAGGAGATAACTAGAAAGTAAGGTGACATTGCCTTTCTCAGCTGTCAGTGCTTTCCATCGGAGCAGTGAAGTCATTCACAAGGTAACGTGATGAAGAATGGTTAACACTGCAAAGGAGGGTAGCGGAAGTCTGCTTCAAAACTTGTCTCAGAATTCTGGAGTCAAACTGAATGGTGAGCCCTCAAAACACACCTATGTTCTTTCAAATCTACCATTTGCTAACTCTGAAGTTGATAGGAACTGTTATTTCATTTCCCTAATTTCTTTTTAAAAATGTTTATTTCTGTGCTGCTCCTTTCTGAAACTCTTCATTAATTATTTTATACAGACTAAAATCTACCTCAATAGAATTAAAGAGTTTCAAAGAGCAATCACCTAATATGTTTGGCATTGGGACACATGGCATATTTTTAAAGCAGACTTACTTTCTTAAGCATAGTTTTAAAAATCATTGCAGAATCCTTGAGAATGAACCAAATGGAAATAAAGCGAAAAATATTAACATTGACCTACAGATGAAAAATGACCTGACATTGAAAAGTGCCTTCAGTATGTCCATGAATACGTAATGTACACATAGGCTACGGGTGACTGAGAACTCCTCTACTGATCAAAAGCCTGTTTCATTTCCCAATGGTGGTACTGACTGGCGGGTGAGCAGCCAGATGCTCCACTTCCTCAATCATATTTAATATTTTGGCCTCTTTGGTTTTACTTTGTAATACAAAACTGAGGAATTCCAAACACATTAAGCTTCTCGAGCTGAACATGAAGTCTACTTTTGGCTAATCTTGGCATTTTTTATGGAATCCACCTACTTGTAAGTAATGTGACAGGAATGATGAATCCAAACGAGTTTGTTGAACCTCTGGTGACCACTGGAACACAGTTGAAGCCCCACATGAAAACTGTGATCTGCTTCTTGTACAGGGACACGACGAAAATATCTGTATTTGTAGTCAAGTGGCTTCTATAAAAGAAAAGATGCATGAGGGGCTGGAGAGATGGCTCAGCAGTTAGGAGCACTGGCGGCTCTTGGGGAGGACCAGAGTTCAGTTCCCAGCACACCCACATGTTAGCTAACAATCATCTGTAATTCACATATGAGAGGATCCAATGCTTTCTTCTGGCCTCTATGGGCAATGAATACATGTAGTACATTGTCCTAGTTTGTTTCTTCATTGCTGTGACAAAATACTCTGACCAATATCAACTTGGGGAGGAAATGGTTTATTTAGCTTACATATCCCAGGTCACAGTTCATCCAGGAGCCCAAGGTAGGAACTCAAGGCAGGAACCTGGAAGCAGGAGCTGGAGCACAGGCCATGGAGGAACACTGCTTACTGGCTTGCTCCCTTGGCCCCTGCTCAGCCTGCTTTCTTATGCAACACAGGCCCACCTGCCCATGGGTGGCACCACCCACAGTGGGCTGGGCCCTCCCACATCACTCATCAAGAAGATGCCCCTCAGACATGGCCACAGGCCAGTCCAATAGAGGCAATTCCCCAATTGAGGCTCCCTCAACCCAGGTGTGTCAAGTTGACACTAAAGCTATCCAGCACATATACTTACATGGAGGCAAAACACGTGTACACACAAAATAAATTAAAAAAAATTTTTTTTAAGAAAGATATGTGAGCTATTATAATGTTTATAGGAAAGTAGTATGTAAGAGTTACACTGTAAGTAACTTAATATTTGCACACTGTAGGCTGTCATGGGTATCACATGAAAATCTACAAGTATTTTGAAAAAGTGGTAAGTAAAATATCAGGTTCCCACCATCACAGCAAGTTCATGCATTAAATATGCTCATCTTATTTCTACTTGATGGCTGAAGAAATGAGGATTCAGGGAGGTTAAGCAAGTTAAATAAAGTTAAGCAGCAGCTTCAGAAATAGAAGCAGAACTTTTATCTTGTAAATTTAGCACTTCCTTCTACTAGAAAATACTTGATACTTTAAGGGAAAGAATAACGTAATGTACAGAGGCTGACTAGGAAGCAGCAGCCTCCCTGATTAACAAAGGGCAGGACATGGTCAGATGTAATCTTGCCAGTACTTCACAGGAGATCCTGGTGTCACTTCCTATGTAATGGAAGAATTCTGGAATTGTTGCCTGGCCTGGTGGCACACACCTTTAATCCTGGTACTGAGGAGGCAGAGGCAGGTGGATCTCTGTGAGTTCAAGGCCAGCCTGGTCTACATAGTGAGTTCAGGCCAGCCGAGGCTACAGGGTGACCTTGTCTCAAAAACAAAACAAAACAAAAAAAAGAATTCTGGAATTGTTTTCTGGAAAAACAATGTTCCAACATAAACCAACAGAAAACTTCAATTCTCTTTTGGTTGATTCTTTAGAAATAGTATAAATAATGAGTGTTTTATTCCTTCTGAGAACGCATGGATGAATGGAAACAACACTGTAAGTTCCACCTTGCATACTCACTTCTTCTTTTCTCTTAGTTATTACAGCAAATACTTTGGTCTGATTATCTGCATCTTGTGACAAACGATAATGACCCAGCAGAATTGCATCCGTCCTAAGAGATTAAAAAACCCTTTGAATTAATCAGCTATTTTTAGTTATGTAATCTGGAAAATTTCAATATTATTTAATCAATTTGCCTGCAAAAAATTACTAGGACACGAATGAACCTTAATTCTAAAGCCCCAAAACCTGCTGAAGTGGTTGTCTAGCAAAAGGCTTCTAGAGACTATCTAGAGACTTCATACATCCCCCCAAGCTCCATGACTGCTTTCAAATCACACTGTATTAAGTCAAGGAAGCACTGACTTAGGTCAATCTGAAAATGTGGACCAGCTAGAAAGCTACAGAAAAACAATACCTGGTATTCCTAGTTCTTAAACGGGGAACAATGCACTGAGGCTCCTCAGGGGTCGTCAACATCATCACATGGCCATCAGGAAAGAATCTTATATACCTACAGAGAAAGAATAGCACCAAAACACCACACACGTGTAACATGAAACACATCCTTATTTCAGTACTTAAGGCTATTCACAGCAGTGAAATCCAGACTGAGACACGATGGGCCAAAGAAGTGATAAAACATGAAAGTCGACAGGGTACTCTGTTACCTGGAGAGAGAGAGCTAAAGTCATTTTATGAACTTCCTGAGCACACTGCTGACTTCTGCATTTTACTCACTGAATAAACATAATTTTGCTTTTTATTAAAGTTCTATGTCTAAGGTACTAATTAATGTCCAACAAAAATGAGACCAATAATGAATACTCAGGAGCCAACATCAGTGTACTCATTTCTCAATAGCAGTCATATACAGCAAACAGTACAGCTGGACAAAAAGCACAACTGGCTTTCTCTGCTTTTGTTTCAAGCTACTTGAAAAGGTAAACGCTCTGATCACGACAGCAGAGAAGGAGAGCACCGAGTATAAGGTAGGGCTAAGAGGTATTATGTGAACCTTTCCACTTCTGAGTGCAGGTCCTCCATTGTAATACTGGATAAAAACACTGAGGACCATTTTGTGCATAAACCAAAAACAGCAGAAAATAGGCCAAATTAACTAATGAGTTAACACTTGGAGAGAGAGAATTTTCCACTCACTCAGTCTACAACAGTTGTACCTGTAATATTCCACTTGGTGCCAGGCTCTATAGAAACCATCAAGAGACTGCTCTCCCTGACGAATGTATGTGGTTTTACTGATATATACTCCTATGAAAAAGAAAGAGGGTACATGAACAAACTAGGTTAGACTCATGTAACACACATCTAGCTTTTAGTATGGTTTCCTTAATTACGTCTATAAGCACTTAGATTCATTACAGAAAATGGAAAGCATGTATTTATCAAAATTAGCATCACAGGCCTAGCATCACAGGCCTCCCAGGCTCCCAGGCTCCGCACCCCAGCACCGCCAGACTGCTAAGTTCGCCAACTGCAGCATTCCCCTGTCTGCTGTCCCAGACTCCCGGGCCTAGTTCAGGCTGCATGGTCTTCATACTAGCCTAGCTTGCTCAGTTCTACAGAACCTTGCCTGCCCTTGCTGCCAAGCCCATACTCTGAGGCATAGCTGGGGTAATTTATGTAGCCTGTACATCAGCCCAGACAGACCTGGTCCAGAGATACATTTGCTTGTCTTCTTAGTTACCACTGAATTAGAATCACCCTTGTCCCTCCAATCAAAAATCAACATTGCCTGTACCTTACCTAACAGCCACCACACCCACCCACTGCTCTGGGATGTTCAATGTTCTGGGAATCCATCCTGGAACCTCAGGCTTAACTGGAAATACTTCTTACACTCCATTTGCACATCAATACAGAGTGGCCCCAAGACTGAACACCAAGCACTACTGAGCCAACAAGTTGGGGTAACAGTAAACAAAGACCTAAACACCCGCTTAACAATGGCGAGACCAGATAGCCATACCAAGAAACACCACCAACAACCTAACTCCAGATGCCACAGTCCCATCACAAGAACAGATACATGAATAACCAAGAAAATATGTCTCCCAGAAATTAGTCGCCCCAAATCATAACAGATCATGAGAAAAGAAACCTAGCTGATGCACAAGGCAATTATAAATATGTTTAAGGAAATATAAAACAAAAAAGTTTAATGAAATAACTAAAACAATTCAAGACATTAAGTTAAAATTTAATGATGAGAATCTCTGAAGAAAAGCCAAACTGAAATACAACTCAGGAAGTCAGACAAAAACTCAGTCATAAATACAATGGATCAAGTAGAAGAAATGCCAGATCTCAAAGGCAAGGTAGAGGAAAATGGATCACAAAAGTCAAGAGAAAATGTTAAATCTAAAACAAACCAAGAATGGGACACGCAGAACCTGTGGGACACTATCCAATCTAAGAGATGCCTATAAAGATGCAAGAGGAATAGAGAATGCCAAGTAGACAGGACCAGAAAAGAATTCAATAATAGTCAAATCACTAAATGCATAGAACAACAAAAAAGACATTGAGGACTCCCCTACAGCCTGAGCAACTCCAATTTCCTGGACCCCACATCCTGTTCTCCTTCTAGCCTTGGGCACAAGCCCATTTTTATTCTTAGCACTCCACATCTCTGGACTACCCTCTCAGCTCCATGTTTCAGTGAGCTCTCCAAATTGCACTTGCCCTACTCTCTATATTAGGACCATCTGTATGTAGCCCTTCCCACTATGGCAGGGCTAGGCTTCTCTGCCCTTTAGTAGGGGCCCAGAACTATCCAGACTGTTGAAGGTGCCGGAACCCAGACTCCTTGTGGTGGTAAGCTTTCCAAATCATGCTGTGTCCATCCCCCTACACTGAGACCACCAACTGGCCCTCCCACTACTGCAGGGCTAGGCTTCCCCACCCTTTAGAAGGGGCACAGACCTTGTAGAGTGCCTGAGACAGCCTGAATCCAGTCTCCGCCTAGAAATCTTCCCAAATAGTGCTGTGCCTGCTGACTAGAGGGACTCAGACCTGAGGAGGAAGCCTGAGAGCATCTGATTCTCATCTGACTTGGGCCTCTGGGGGAATTCCCGAGTACCTGGACTAGAGTCACCTGCTCCCTCCAATATAAAATCAAAACAGAAAACCTGAAGCCTAGACCAACCAGCTTTTCATACCCATTAAGAAAACAAACAATGTACATCAAGTATACGAACAAAATCAAATTTCAAATCAACAAAGGAAGGCTTCAGTCTCACACCAGAATCACAAACAACAGAAGAAATCCACATGCCAAAATCACAATGAAAAAATAATAGTATGAAAAACCCAAATATGTCCCCACCAAACTCCACCAGTCCTATAGAAGAGTTCTACAAGGAGAACCCCCTAGAGATAACCCAGGACACAGAATTTAAAAGAACAGTCATAAACATGATCAAAGAATTCAACGAATTTAAAGAACACACAAACAAACAAATCAAAGAACTAAAAGAAGATAGGGATAAACTTCTGACTGAATTCACAAAAGAGATAGAAATATTGAAGAAAACTTGGGCTAAAATGCAGAAGGAAGTGAAAAACTCAATAAACCAATTAGAAACAACAGAAGAAAACCTCACCAATAGAATGAATGAAATGGAAAACAGAATATCAACACTGGAGGATAAAGTTGAAGAATTGGACCACTCAAGCAAATATTATGAAAATTTAAAAAGAGCACATGAGGGGCTGGAGAGATGGCTCAGTGGTTAAGAGCACTGACTGCTCTTAGAGGACTGGCCCGATTCTCAGCACCCACATGGCAGCTACACACTGTCCTTAACTCCAATTCCAAGGGAATCGGAAGCCCCCTTCTGACCTCTGTCTGTAGGCACGACACAGGTGTACTCACATACATGCAGGCAATACACTCATACACATAAAATAAAAACAATAAATAAAATATTTTTTTAAGAAAGAACACAGGAATGGAATATGCAGGAAATGTGGGACACCATGAAAAGACCAAATTTATACATCACAGGCATAGAGGAAGGAGAAGAATCTCAGGATAATGGTATTGAAAGGATCTTCGACAGGATTGTAGAAGAGAATTTCCCCAAATTAAGGAAAGACATGCCCATACAAACCCAAGAAGCACATAAAACACCAAATAGACAGGACCAGAAAAGAAACTCCTCACAGCATATCACAGTAAAAACACTAAACATACAGAACAAAGAGAGAATACTGAAAGCTGCAAAAGGAAAACAAGTCACATACAAAGGAAAGCCCATCAGAATTACAGCTGATTCCAATGCAAACTATAAAAGCCGAAAGAGCCTGGACCAAAGTATTCCCAGTTCTAAATGACCATAGATGCCAACCCAGAATACTTTACCCAGCAAAAATGTCTATGATAATTGAAGGGGAAAGAAAATCTTCTATGACATGAATAGGCTGAAGGAATTCATGTCCACAAAACCAGCCCTTCAGAGAACTCTTGAAGCCATACAAAGAGCTGAAGACAGGAACATAGGGAAGGAATAAGGGGCAACAGCAAGAAATTAAATGAAGGTATAACTGTGGAAATACAATGTTGGACCAAGAATACAAACAGAAATTAAAATAACAGGCACTAATACACATCTTTCAATAATAACTTTAAACATCAATGGACTGAACTCCCCTGTCAAAAGACACAGGCTAGTTGAAATTGATTAAGAAACAAAATCCACCTTTTGTTGTCTCCAAAAAAAAAAAAAAAACCCATCTAACCTTCAAAGATGGCACTACCTTAAGGTGAAAGGATGGAAAAAAATATTTCAAGCAAATGGCACTAAGAAAAAAGCGGGGGTTGCAATTCTAATATCTGACAGAATAGACTTCAAAGTAAAGCTAATCAGAAGAGATAAGGAGGGTCACTTCATTCTGATCAAAGGAACAATTAACCAAGAAGATATTACAATCATGAACCAAACTCTGGTGTACTCATCTTCATAAAAACACTACTATAGGACTTTAAGACACAAAGTAATCCCAACTCACTGATAGTAAGGGAGGTCAATACTCCACTGTCTCCATTAGATAGGTCAACTGGACAAAGAGTAAACAGAGAGACATCTGAATTAAATTATACTATACATTAAATGGACCTAACAGACATCTAGTGAATATTCCACCCAAGCACCGAAAAATATACTTTCTATTCAGCACCCCAAGGAACTTTCTCCAAAACCGACTACATATTGGGGCACAAAAGAAACCTCAACAAATACAAAAAAAATGAAATAATTCCATGCATTCTATCAGACCACAATGTAATAAAGCTTAAAATCAACAATGGAAAAAGTCTTAATAACTACATGAACTCATGGAGATTAAGCAATACACTCCTGAATGATGAGTGTGTCAAAGGAAAAATTATACAAGATAGACAGACCCTTAGCCCAGTTTGTCCAAAAGAAACAAAGAACTCTAAATCAACAAAATTAGAGATTAAAGGGGAAACATCACAATAGACACCAAAAAGAGCTAGAACATTGTAAAGGAATACTTTTAAAACCCTATATGCTATTAAATTTGAAAACTAAAAGAAATGGATGTATACCTAAAATCATGGAACTCACCAAAGCTAAATCAAGAAGAGATCAACAGCTTAAACAGACCCATATAAGAAAATTGAACCCGGGCGTGGTGGCTCACGCCTTTAATCCCAGCACTTGGGAGACAGAGGGAGATGGATCTCTGTGAGTTCAAGGCCAGCCTGGTCTACATAGTGAGTTCCACGACAACTGGGCTACAGGGAGACCCTGTCTCAAAAAGACCACCTCCCAAAATGTTCAATATCATTAGTAATTAGGAAGATGCAAATTAAAACCATTTTAAGATTTCATCTTACCCCAGTCAGACTGGCTAAGATCAAGAGAACAAATGATAACAAATGCAGGCGAGGATGTGGGGAAAAGGAACACTCATCCACTGCTGGGGGGCTCCAAACTTTTTAAACCCTATGGAAAGCAGTGTGGAGAACTCTTAAAAAACTACAAATGAACCTATCATTTGACCCAGTTATACCATTCCTTGGCATATACCCAAAGGACTCATCCTATTGCAGAGACACTTGTACATCCATGTTTGTTGTTGCTCTTTTCACAACAGCAAAGAGATGGAAGCAACCTAAGTGTCCCTCAACGGAGGGGGAGGAGGTAAGAAAGAAAATGTGGTGTATTTACACAATGGAGTTCTATTCGGCAATAACGAAAGATGAAATCATGAAATCTGCA